ATCTGTTCCAGATTGCATTTGTCTTTTGGCGAAGCTCAGACTCTGGCACAGGATCGGGAACGTTGGAAGCTCTGTCTGACGTGTCTGTCTCCGCAACGGAGAAGCGGCGATGGAGGATGGAGATGGAGATTAAATGTTTAGATATTGTAAAACAGTTATATTTGTAAACGAGCAAAAATACGGTATAGTTTATGACAATGCTAAAACGTGACTTATAATGAAATAAAACTTTTCTAGAGCCTTGCTAAAGATCGGTATTTTGTTGATAGTCATACAGCATGGGCAACGCAGAGACACAACGCAAAGAAATGGTCAAATAAATGATGTATTGCAACTCAATTTCAACTCCTATTTTACGAGCATTCTTCCAAGTAAAAGTTGTTCTAGTTTTCAGTTACTGTTGAAGTCTTCTGCAGAAGCGAGATCGTTTTGAGGAAAGATGCAAGCTCTCAGTCGGTAATGCCATCTAAGTATTCTTTTCGTGGCAGGCGCAACGACGCTTCTCTGATCCGTGAAGAGTTCGTGTTCTATTTCATGGTGATCAGTGCTTCCTTGAGGAGTCTGTTCAGCAAATTCCTTTCGCTGACAATGCCGGCGCACTCGGACCACTGGGAAGCATACAGAAGATATTTTTCTTTATCGCGTGTTGCACGATAATAAAATTCTTCGCAACAGAGGCTGTACTAAAGGAGGGAAGTTTTTATCTTCCGGGATATTTTGTTTGAACGTACCGTTCATGTTTGTGGGCGATCATCTGTTTTCTCCAGCTTGATAGGAGAAAATTTTTTCTGATGGCCGTGTTTCCTGATTCTCCTCTGTATCACTTCTAACAGGTACACAGTAATTTGTAAGCCTCAAGAATATGAAGGGTTCTTCTTCGTTGAATAGAAGTCTGTTCTGATGTAAGCTGTTGTGATATTCTACGCGTTCACGGTCGTTTATTCCACAGTCTTGAAATCGGAGTCTCTGTCCACTGTTCATTAAGAACACGGCCTCATGATAATGCTTCACTGTTTTCTTTGTTGTTTCATGCTGAGAATGACAAAGGATAAGTTTGTAACCCCAAATATAAATTTTCCTTATACAACTATGGTTTGGTTATCCTGTTTCGTGGAACGACATCAGTAACGTCGCTCCCTGCAGACTGAGTTCGATAATCAATGAGTAAATAAGGACTAATGAAAGTCTATGGCAGATTCCATTTCATCTCTCCGATTACCACTGCCAAACCCTAGTGGCATTCGCTAACGGGGTCCACTGTGCAGCGTTCACTTAACTTTGTTTCCATCAGTCAGAATAATACCCAAATTATGCGACAGGCATAGTGTAATTGCCCGTTTTCTTCCCATGACGCTGTACGCGCTTATGTACATTGGGAGAATGAAAAGCGAGTAACCGGGGCAGAACTCGAACATACAATGTGTCAACTGTGAACCACTTTGATCTGAATTGGAAATGAGTCACAAAGTGCTCAGGCTGCACTCAGATTTCGGTCTCCAATTAAATCTTGTTTATAGCCAGGAGGAAAACTGCCATCTGTTCGTAACTGCTGCATCATTAGCTATCTCATTACATTCTATAGAAATCTTCACGGTGCGATAATCATTTAGAAAAATGCACTGCTCTGCACTTCATCCTATAATGGTATTCATCGTCTTTGCCAACCGACGCAAAAACAGAGGACAGAACCGACCACAGAACTGTAGATAAAATATTAACTCAATATACAAAAGAAAAATATAAAATAATATAGTAACAAAGAACTAAATTAAATATAACCAATAAATAAAATACTCTTTAGAGATACCGAAGACTTTTGAAAAACCGTCCATCTAATAACATGGTACATTCATATCAATTCATAAAGACGTACCATGGTATTGGTAGATGCAGCGCGCATCTTAAAGTTTTCGAACTCCTCCAGCAGATGAAAATATCGGCTTGAATATTCAGAATGAGCTTCTGAGGTTGGAGGCAGATTCGTTTGCAAAGCATCAAATTCCGGTACCTGCATATAAGAGATTACGTCTTCAAACACAGCAGTTATAGGCAAAGGCATCTGACCTCATCAGAGCGATTTTTCTTAATATCTTCTTTGACTGTCCTGACTTCTGGAGAATTTGATTTTTCACTTTCGCTGATCTGAGCAGCATCCTCACTATCTGCACTAATCTACAAGTTCATATTAAACTTTACGTGTGATAACAAGTCAAAATATGAAAAGACTGATTTAACAAGCTATACTGAGTTATAAATATTGACCGCTTGGCCAACAAACCTTCATCGCGTTGAGCATCTGCGCGTACTTTTCATTTTCGTATTCACACTGTGATAAAGTATCTGTCAAATCGACTATTTTGCCTTCGAGCGAGGTGATTTTGCATTCGTAATGAGTCTGGGCATTCTTCAAGCGCAAGGCTTCGTTTTTCATGGCCTCAATATGGCGTTCCTAAAAATCTTTTAATAATTGATCAGATGATAGGATAAAATCAAGAAATTTCGAAAAACAGCAGATTGATAATTCCATCTTTGGGCCTTGGAGTAAAAACTGGGAGGAATGGAATCAGTTAGGTTGATGAAACGACGAAACACACA